GATAACTTTAGATTGGGTTAAGACCAAAAATCAAGATGAAGAAGAATATATAGCTATAAACCTACAAACAATTAAACAAGTAATAAAAGACTATCACTAAAAAGCTTTAAAGTAACGAAATACTAATTATGAGAGATTTAGTTCTGAATAGAAAAGAGAATATCAAACAAAAGATTGGATAAATCCAGCATAGAATTCTCTTTTACAGGAAGAAATCACGATGGAAAAGATCAAGACAATACCAAGAAACCTTCCTAAAAAAAAAGTATTCAATCTATCACATATTAATTATAAAATACTTAAAAATCTAGGTCCTCAAGAAAAAAAAGCTCTCAAACAAATATATGATCAGATAATTAAGGTGGACCATATACCAAGGAAATGGAAAGAGAGTAACAACTATTTGATATCCAAGTCAAAACCATAGAACTGTAGTCTAAACAACACAAGATCCATAATATTGCTAGAAACAATAAGAAAATGCTTTATCAAAATACTAACCAATAGACTTATTGGTATATATAAAAAACATAAAATCCTATGAGAACCTAATTTCATTGGCTTACAAAGAGAAAGTATAGTTGAACTCATTCAACTTCTAAATAGTATCTGTGAAGAAATCAGAGAAAAGAAAAAGGAACTATGGATTCTTTTTTAGGACACAGTCAAAATATATGATATAATTGGCCTCAAGATGCTAGAAAGATCTATGAACAAAATCTGTATTCCAACTACTAGTAGACAATTAATTATAGATCTCTTTGAAAATAGAAAATGTAAAACAATTATTTCAATAGAACTTTCAGATCCAGTTATAGCTGGTGATAGAATAGATCAAGGAGAAACAATCTTTTCTTTACTTTGAAGAATTTTCTATGATCCATTATTATACAAAATCCAAGGGAATCCAAACTATGAATATATAATGGAAGAAGAATAGATATTGGACTTTCAAAAACTACATCTCAAAGAAAAACTTTCTCTAAGACAAATAGTGATAGTATATATGAATGATACTCTTGAATTGTCAAATCCAAAACTAATATGGAATGTATTTTAAAAAATGCCAGACAATTTTATTAGGCAAATGATTCACAAATCAATAGTGAAAAATCCATCCTCCTGACCTTCAACTGGAACAGTATAAATCTAGGCACTGTTCATACAAGGATAGAGAAATTAATAGTCAAGGAACTAGATAAATATAACCTAACAAGATTCTTGGGTATCTGATTAGAAAGAATATACAATAATTGGAATACTATTAATTTACTTAAGACAAAGATCAGAACAGTAACCCAAGCAATTAGTAACAAAAGCCTAATCAAAAAACATGCCAGGTACATTATCAATAGAGTTTTAATTTCTCATATAGAGTATAGAATGCAGCACATATACCTGAATAAGTAAGTTTGTAATGATTTAACAGCCATGTATAGAAAAGCTTTTAAAAACAAAGTTCTAATTTGTAGAATAATGTCAAATAGTTGTATACACAATAAACAAATCTATGGGCTCAAAAGTATATGGGAAATTCAACTTGAAAGTCATATAATAACACTATTCTGTTAACTAAATAATAATGAAGCTTTAGGAATTGCAACAGTCATTTGACTTAAACAAAGTCAACTCAAATATTAGGAACTCAAAAATATACTTGATGATTTAATAAAAGTTAAGATAATTGAAAAAGGTAACCTTGCTGCTACAACTCTGGCTATGGCAAAGAAGCTATAGATCATATATAACAGCTGGAGATGGAAAAAGATTATTGCCACTCAAGAAGATACCATGTCAATCAAGACAATAATAAACAATAAGAAAGAATACATGAAAGCTATTTCTTTTTTAAAAAGAAACAAAATAATGTTTTTAGATCAACTAATTAATATGATCATATTAACAATAAGAGAATGGAGAGCAGTTCAAATTTTTGTTAATACTTGTAAAGGTCCCATTCCAAGCTGGTATACACAAATTAGAGCAAAGGTGACAAAATAACAAAACTTGTTGAAACAGTTCTATCAAACTCTAAACTGGATTGAACATGAACTTCAAATGGTAAAAGTGGTTCTTAAAATGGACAAATGGAGAATCAATTGGAGAGTTTTGACTGAAACAATAGGAACTACTATTAAAAAAGTCAAAATGCAAAACAGAGGAATACTTTTTATACCATATCAGCTTACCTACAATTCTAATATAAATAATACTACATATTATTCTTATATATCCAAACAATCAATAATTTTATATATAGCTCAAATCTGGTTACTACCACAATTAAATAGGTAAGAAAGTTTTAGAAAAAATAATCTACTTATACTTTTAAGAAACCCCACAGACTGGCAGTCCACAGTACCAACAAATAAATTAAGTACTATATATTTATTAGGACTAGAAGAGATTAAGATACAAATAGAGAATTGAAAAGTTAAACTGATTAAATAGACTATATAATTAGAGGAGCATACAATAGTCCTAATAAAAAGTCTTAGACACAACTATAAAAGCAACACAAAGCAATTTACTTTTTTTATTGATGGATCTTATAAGCAATATATAAAAAGTGAAGATAAACTCAAAATAGGTCTTGTATGGATTCAAATTGAGAACAATATATTAATTAATCAATTCTTAGCAGAAGCAATATCATGGCCATTAACTACAAAAGCAAAAATCCTAATCATACTTACTGCAATCTTTACAATATCTGAAAATAGAAAAGCAACTATATATACAGATTATAGTGTAGCTATCAAGATATGGAAGACAATTCAGTCACAAAAATTTATTTCCATAAGGAAATGAATTAAAATGATCAACTGATCACTATGGAACCAAATCAAGAACTTAGTATAAAAGAAAAATATTTGTTTCATACTTGAAAAAATTAAGGTCCATTAAAACAATAAGTTCAATAATATAGCAGACAGGTTAGTAAAGCAGGCCAAAAGAAAAAACTTTTTGATTTAATAACAAATACCTGATCTGGATCAAGTTCTTACAATAGTAACCTGGAAGAATCATATTATTGATATTAGTATTAGAGATTTTTTTAAAAAATTAAATACTAAAAAAATAGAACTAGCCTGAATAGAGCAAAAATGTATTCAAAACTGATGGATATACCCTAGTAAAGAAATTGACTGGCAAATTTTTTGGAAACAATTCAATCTATACAATACCTTTTACACCTCCTTTAGTATCAACAAAGACAAGAGTTTTCTGATAAATTTAATCCATGATGAGCTTCTTACTCTCCAAGTGATGCAAAAAGAAAACCAGACTTATATTCAAATATAATATGCTCAATGTGTAAACTATAAGAGAAAACCTTGAAACATCTTTTTGAATATTTCAAGACTCAAAGTGAAAGATTACTTATATGGAACAAATCTCAAAGTAAAATCCTTCAGTATATTAAGAAAACAAAAGATCTATCTGATGAAAATCAGGTAAAAATTAAAAGAGTAACAAGGAAATGGATTCAGGATATTAAATAATAGAATAAAAGCCTATATAATACAGTTTATAGTTTTATATACAAAGACAAGATCAAGATTCTGGAAAAGTATCTCAAAGCTCTTAAAATTTTTAATGGCAACAATACAAGAGACTATTGATAAATTTTATAAAAAAATAAGGAAGACCTTCAAGAAGGAAGTTTGAAACAAACACTATATTGTTATTATCGAATGGGAACAAAACCAAAGAATTATTAACAAACCTAAAAGACTTAGAGTAGCAATAGATATGACTAGAAAAATGAACAAGTCCCTAAGGAAATTAATTACTCCTTTATTTTTCCCTCCAGAAATATAACAGAAAAAGAAAAAAACTTAGAATGAATAAAGTTACAAGGCAATATAGTAGATATAATAAGTAGTTGAATATTCAAAGGTTTTAAATGGTTTGGTTTTTAATTATAGTTAGAACTTCAGGAAATTTATTGTGATGAGTTGTAAACAATGATTTGAGTGGCTAGAGGATAATTTAATTTACAAAAGAAGTGAAATATCATCCTCTAAGTTGTATCTAGAAAAGGTTAAACTTTGTAGATGGATGAGTCAATATGTGAAAGTTATAAAGTATATAAATATCAAATATGTTTACAATAAAATGGATAAGCCATATTGGCTTGACTATGGATTATAAATAAATAAGTTTTCAGATAATCAAAAGAAGAAAGAATATTTTAATAAAATATTTCTTATTGAGAAAATATTTTGAGTAATAGGTTTAGAAAAAGTTGAAAATATTTTATTTTATATTTTATTATATATTTATATATTTTTAACTATTTCTTCTCTTTTTTTTTCAATTTATTTTTTTTTCAATTTTCTATATTTTAGTGACTTGATAAAATAATAGCAAAAATAATCTGTTAATAATAATATAAATTAAAAAGATTTTTATTTAAAATCTATTATAAAATGAAATATTGTTTTTAAAAAGATTATTATTACTTATTACAAGTTAACTAGATTTAATATTTACATATTTATTTGATTAATAAACTAATAATTTAGTTTAATTGTGAATATTATAAAAAAAAAAAAAGAAATTAATATATACAGTATAATTAACAATTTTTTATTAATTTCAGAATAATCCTCTACAACAAACTGCTATTGATGATTTCTTGAATAAAAGATTGAAGTGCAAGATTAGAGAGAAATAATTGTTTTCTAAATATGACTTGAGGTACAAAGTTTAGATTTTGAACAAGTTCAATAAACTTTCTCATAAATTTTTTTTTAGTAATTTAATCATTCAACATAATGATATTGATTATATTAATTTCTAAATAAGTACATTGACGATTGAAAGGTGTGAAACCTTTTAATAGGATAATTCGGATTAACGGGATTTGGATAACAAGGTTTACTATGTTAATAAAAAAATTTGGGTTTAATTTACTATACAAAGTAAGAAACAATGGCATTATTCTAATCATTTAGCACAAATTCTTGGTGTTACATGCACACTATTCAGAAATGTCTAGCACCACAACTTCGGCGACGTACAAGGCTAGCGATGGTAGAGAGTTAACTCCGTCTAGGAAGAAAGTTCAGGTTTGTATTCCCAAAAAGAAAGTCACCGGTATTGCAAGTAGAATGGTTAAGTCAACCAAGAAAAGCGTTTCCTTTTCGGCTGAGGAGGAGAGCGAAGGTTCTCGAATCTCCGAGGTATCACATTTTATATTTTGTGGTAGCCGTTTGAGGGCCTTCAGTGTTTATTTTTATGCACCATGAAATTAGGATGACCCGGAATATGAAAGTGAAGATGATAGATTGAGAACTAGTAGGAAATATCCAGCGCGTAGCACGGTCATTGAACACAAATTGAATTATTCAGAAGAATTGTATTATGAAAGATTCAACGCGGCATTTAATGCTCGCCTCGAGCGTAATCCCGAAAAAAGCACAACTGAAAGGGAACCATCTAGCTCATCTCCAAAGTCGCTTCGTCGTAAAACTCCGAAAAGAAAGTCATCGGTAAAAGATATCGATTATTCAGAAAAAAGATACTATAAGAAATTTGAATCTGCCATGAGAACCAAAATCTATTACAAAAACACGAGAGAACCACTACCATCTAAAAGACAAAAGGGAAGTAAAGGGAATGCGGTATCGGAAACTGTTAATGAGCCGGAAAATGATGAGGGACATGCGGTATCGGTTAATGAGCCGGAAAATGATGAGGGATATTCGATAGGCGAATCTGAAGGTCATGAATCAGATGATTCGGTGGAATACGTACCACCCAGCAGAAACCTTCGCAGTAAAGGGACCGCGAGATGAAATCGAACAATGAGTTTTCGCAGGAACACTCAAAAATATTTTTTACATATTAATGGCATGGATGTATTATTTAGTGTCAAATCGGACAAACTTTCAGCGCTCTTTATAAATTTATAAATCCGAATCAGCGTCAGAAATTTCATCAAATGCCCTCTGGTCCCTTTGAATATTCGCCAGGGCGTTAACTTTCGATTGCCTGTGTAATTAAGAGGGCCTTGTAAATTATGAACATGAATAATGGGACGGGATTAGATTAGAGGCATACCGTGATCTGGATGGTCTTAATGTTGGCGCAATCTCTGTTTGAGTAGGAAAAAAAAGTAAATTAAAATTTATTCTAATAAAGTTATTTCAGAAACAGAAATTCATACCTTCTAGACTTTCAACGAATTCAGTGATATCTCTTAATTGGTTAAGCTCGTTGTCATCTAAGGGATCTGATGCGTCATTGAAATAACGAAGTAGGTTGTTCTCAAATCGGTTTATCGCGTTCTTAGATGAGTAATCGGTCAATGGCCTTTTCTGTTAAGATGGGCGGTGTGTGCGCACGCCAACGTAGTCAATATCGAAAAATAAATAAAAAAAAAAAACGGTAAACATAAACAAATACGAACGTACTGATTTCAGGTTTCCAGTGAGATAGGTCATTTTTCTAAAACGCAGAATGCCCACGGACTCATCTATGTGGAACTTGTTAAGAGTTTGGCAGAGAAGCTTTCTTATCTCCTCTAAAGGTGCATTTTTTTTTTTTAAAAAAAAAAAAAATAATCATATATACATACAATATATATTGTGTGAAACGTCACTAGGTACAGTATTTATCATATATGATGGACTCACTGTCAGATTCGGAGAAAAGATGTTTAAGGACATCAATCGCAACATTCGCATGCGATCCAACATCGATAGTGGTTCCTTCCGTTTGTTCTGATTTTCTTCAATTGCGAAAACGTATTAACATAACATCGCATCATCAAAAGAAGAACTGAGTCGACATTCAATCTTACTTACACAACTTTGGTTGGGTCAGTCCATTCGATCAATTGCTGCGCCATTTGAAAGGGCGTCACGGTGTCATCACTCTTTTCGAGATTTCTACTTCTGTTCGTCGCATCGATAAGTGCGGAAAGAAATATCTAACACGAGACAATGATAAATTTAAAAGATCTCGTGAAAATAGTTGCATTAAATAAAGAATACCTCTTGCATAATGGACTGGTTTTCATATGAGGAATGACAGAAGGCGGGGAAGAAGTAGCTCAGACATTGCCTCAAACGAAGATTAGAAGCAGTGTTGGTGTCAAAATATAACGTGACAAGTTCCTTCAGGACCTGATAAGGTGAAAATCACTTTGTCAGATTCAAGGTCGAAGTATTACAGGAGGTTCCTTACTCGTAGTACATAAGCCCACTTACGTCTTTGTCACGCAACATTTTGGAGAGCATAAGCTTTGATATTCCCACCACAGCAATTGCTTGAATTTGTTCTTTCTCATGGTTAAGACAATCCTTCAATAGATTCATAATTTCGTCGCCCTAAAATCAATTCAACAGGTCATCTCTTGCTTGGCAAAGAGATATGTAAGTCGCAGAATTATTTATCGGTCCTACCTGTCGCGTCCTTGTGATTATCGTTGCGTACCCATATGCCATAAGGATGTCGAAGATAATCTTAAGAATGGTATAAATTTAGAGCTATTCATTTTCCCCGAAAACCCATATCTACTATAAATATTACCATCAAGGATTTTGCCTTTAATTCATCAAACCCGTGTTTCACGCAATGCATAAAAAGGTTAAAATTCTCTATTGCCAAAGGCTTAGGTCATTTGAAGAATAAGTTATGTGCAATCCGAAATTCGTTATGGGCAATCCTTTGTTGTAGTAACTAATAATACCTGGTCAAGTATGCAGCACAAACCGAGGCAATGCACGCCAAATTCTCGTAAAGCTGGTTCCTGACTTTGTACGTTAGGTATGATGATTTCGCTCAGGAGCCCGTGCATCGACGGATTGTGCCGTAATTCCTATGCCAACGATTGAAATGATCAAATGACGAATTTTCGATTTGCACTAATCCTCAATCTCACATACCTCTGAGTTTTTTTCCAGCATCCGACGCACTATGTGCAGACTTTTCAAGTTGAGCATCATGGACATTAGCTCCTTGTCTTCCTCCGGCTCATCATCATCCTCCGTGCTTATCGTCGCCGTAGATAGTCGACCATCGCCTTTTCTCTGGTCGGAATGTCTCATGGACAATCGCATTGAAGACATGTTGATGCTGAGGTGAGACATATTTGTCGTGAGGTCGTGATCATCCTAATGGGTTTGACGTTGGGGAGTCACGTAAATAAAATTGGAAGCATTTCGATTTATGAAGTCCTACTTGAATCGCGCGTCGTGAAATAGCATCCTCTTCTTCGATCCCTTTGCGAATATCAGAAATTATTTCGATCATAGAGCTAGAATTTCGAAACATCCCTTAGCATAATAGAGTGCACGTGCATCGACAAATTAAGAAGCAAAGTTCAAACCGTGTAAAATCCCGCTCATTGATGGAGATCTTTTTCATGACTTCCATGATACTCTCAATGTGACTTTCTGCGATTTGAGGCAAAATGAGCATTTCGCCTGAGAATGGGGCAAAAGTAAGAACTTTTTTCATCGAAGGTCAATGTATAATAAGCAGCCGGGACAAGGAAATAGCTTACGCAAGAGCGAATGCATTTTTCGTCGACCAACTTCGTCACCATAATCCATCAACTTCGCTATCGACAATAACTGACTGACGATAAACACATAGTTAACCTGTTCTTCTTCCGAAGTTTGAAAAATGTAATGATTATATTTCTGAATATAAAAAGCGAGTCGGGTGATCTCGGGCATCATTTCATCGAGTCTACCGTTGTCCTATAACCGAGAAGCAGCGTCATCACCTCGGATTCAATCACAACATAAAACGAATGCAAGGAAGGCAAAGCTTCGTACGTACATCTTTGTGATATTCGAAGAAGGCTCGCATAAGTAAGGCGCTTTCGGCCGTCAAATTTTCCCATAAGGTATCTAAAGGTTGTTCGAAGTTTAAAAATAGGATTGTTATAATGATCATTTTTTGAATGCGTGATGTCTGCGGATCGATTACCATCAAAATTGAGAGCTTGCGTTATATCCGGTCGCGCTCGAAATATTGATAAGAGAACTTCTTGAGCGACGTTACTTCCCACGACATCCAGGCGTTCAAGCAACTATAAATTTACAAGTAAGTTGTTATAAGTGATTACTCAAGCGGTCGGGCAGATCCGTCAGCCTTTATACCTCTAAAAGGTTATCGTTTGCATGTTGGATCCAATTAGTCGCAAGCATCTTCGAACACATCTTTTTGACATGAGGATCCCTGTTTAGATTTTATGGTTAATCGCGATGCACGGGATCAATCGTAAAACTTGGTATGCGCGTCAACGTGAAATCACCTATCCGTGAGACCCCAATTTAGCAACTTTTCGCGATCCTCAATAGATAATACGCGAAAGTCTCGAAGTTCCTCGATCAACTTTGTGAACACTCCGCAACGAATATTTGCGTCGATGTCACGTGCGCGATTCAATATGTGAGGTAACGTTTCTTCATTATACTCGATGTTATATAGTACTGCGCGCCGAACTTCACTGTAGATTTGACGTGGGTTCATTAATCTATTGATTGAATGCAAATAAAAACACACAAAGCAAATATTCGTAGTTACGCGCTGGGGTCATTATTCAATAATCCGAGTAGTTGTCCGGCACACTCTCTTCCGTTTCCGGTATCACCCTTTATGTGAAGAAAGGTAAGAATTAAAAAATATGATAATAATAATAATAATAATAATAATAATAATATCAAGGCTCCGGCGGATGATTCCACGTCGAAAATCTTACTTGTAATTTCGCATACGCGATGACCGCTTTAACTCGCACCCCTGCTTCCTTGTCAAGTAGACGCTTGGTCAATTCGTCCTTTAAATGTTCATACAAATCGCCGCTAAAGAGTGTCGACGAAAGAAATGTGAAAGAGACTTGGCATGTCACAATTGTTTTCAAAAAATTAAAAGATCAAGGTCGGAGCAATGCGAATGACTCACTCGATGGTTCGAAGAAAGGAAACGATATGAGCTAATAGTTGGCAAACTCGTAGCCTCACACTTTTGTCTTTGGCTTCGGTGCCTTTGAGTAAATGTTTGATAAGGAATTCGGTGAATCGCGAGGATAATGTCTCTTCGACTTCATTTTCGGGGGAATTGTCGTCATTCTTTTCGTTGTCTCGTTTCATATAGCATGGAGTTTGTGATAAGTAGGCACACGTGAAAATGGTCACAGTCGCAAGCGTCACTCATGAAAACCTAATCACCTTTTTCGCAGCTAAATGCCACAAATGAAACCACAAACTTGAGAACACGTTCGGCATTTGATTGCCCCTTCTTGATTGGGAGCACCTTGTTTAAATTTCGCACAAATTCTTCATTAAATGCCAACTCTCCGTCCGTCGGTTCTTCATTATCATTCAACGCGTCAGAATTTAAAGGCGCATATTTGGAACATTTTACTTGCAATTTTCGAAGGGCCACCGCATTCTTTCGGTGGCTGGTTGTGGCCTTTTGACATTCCTGAAAAATTTGCGGAACTGCCAACGATAATGCCGCAAGGGGGTTCTCTCGAACGGGCATTTCTACTGTATAATTAATTTATTTACTTGATGATCGACGACATCGACACGCGTAAAATTTATTTATACTTTCAAACTATTATGTCATGTGATTTATGTGATTTGATAATGCATAAATTATTAAGTTGCACTGCAGCGATTAATAATCCTTTTTATAAAACACCACATCGCCCTCATCCTCTATATATTTACACTCGATGTGACTTCTCCATAAAGCTTTGAAAATAGGGGTATCGTCGAAAATGTAATAAGAGCCGAGTACTTTTTTGAGATGCTTGGTCGCCTCTTCGGCGTGGTAATGAGGCATGAGGCTAAAATAATGGTGTGCTACATGCGTCGAAGTAATTCTGTGGAAGATGGCGTCGAGGAAACCTAGGTGACGGTCAACTGTAATTTCACGAAACCAAATATTTTAGGATATCAAAAAAAGAAAAGAAAAGAAAAGAAAGAAAGAAAAAAATGTGTATCCTAACCCGTGGTGGCTGCTCCACGTACAAAATCCCATTGTTCTTCGCGATAATGGGGCAATTTTGGATCGGTGTGCTGAAGGTAGGTGATTAGAACGAGCCAGTGATTTACCACCAAATAAGGTATCAAATAATACTTTGCCACGACAAGGAACGAATAGGTGTAAGAGAAGTAACAGATGGCAGACAGGGCAATCATTATTCCAATGTCGGAAATTATGATGTCATTGAAATTTTTGAGGTCAAACATTGGAGAAGATGGATTAAAATGGTTTGCCCAACAATCGTCATATGATTGACCTGACATATTAAAAATTAAATACAGGGGGAACCCTAGTAACTGCTGTCCAATCAGATTCAAAAGTGTGATGATTGGTGTATCCTCGAATACCGAGTGATGGATCGCGTCCTTCGGAGGTAAACCGAGTTTCGATCGTGTCTTTGGCACGAATACTTGATCTTTATCCACGTGACCGGTGTACTTGTGATGTTTGGAGTGAGTGATTCTCCAGGAGTGATATGGAACTAGTAGGGCCGTGTGCAATATGAAGCCAACCGCATTGTTGAGAGTTGTTGAACGTGAAAATGCTTGATGACCACATTCGTGTGCCAACACCCAAATACCAGTTGCAAAGGCACCACAGAAGAACCAATATAGAGGCCACGTAACATAACGCCATACCGGAGGCAAATAAACATCTGTGAAGGTTACAGCATAAACAAGGGCCGCAATTGCGGCAAGGTCCCTCGCGACATATCCCGCCGATTTCAACGCATTTCTTTCAAAGCAGTGAGCGGGAATTGCTTCACGGATCTCCTTAATGGTGAAGTTGGGAGGTATGTAACCACGTTCAAATGTGATGTTTTCAACAGCTTTTTTCACTCCGGCTGTTGGGCGGTAAGTAAGTTCCGCCTGCGTTTCGACATTAGGAGGCACCATGTTTCAAAAGTGATGTATAGAACCGATTTTTTTTAAGACAACCTCCTGCCATTCTTATATTTTTTTTTTTTTCTTAGCCAACTTTTGGGGAATCTTCGGCATTATCGCAAGCGCACAAACTTATTTGTACTACTTGTTACTCGTTTTTTCTTTGTAAAAAAAAAAAAAAAAAAAAAAAAAAAAAAAAAAAAAATTGGGGACATGTGCAATCACCTAAAAACGTGGTTCTCCCCATCAGAGCAGTTAGTTTGACGACTCGGACGTTGCTCGTTAACATTCCAATGTAAGTAAAATTATCACCATTCATTTTTTTGAAATGAACTTTATTTTGGGAAATTTAATGTCAGCGCACTCATTTGGATCTCGGAAATAAAATTTTTCTAGTGTATACAAGGAATTTCCTCATGTGAATATTACATGAGCGGAAGTATAAATTCTATCTATTGTGCAAATGATTGGTTTGATATTATTCATTTATTTTTCTTATTGAAGGTCAAAAAAGTCAATTAGTGAAAAAAAAAGTATCGACAATTGTCGATCAAAAATTTAATATTGTCCCCCCGACAAAAATTTTTAAAGTACATATGCTATATATGTGTAATAAATGTATTAGAAAGAACACGAATTTCTCTCTACAACTAGAAATGATAGGATGAGAATTGATCCGTTAAAAAAGTCGTGCAAGTATCCATCAAACGCGTCAATAAGATGCATTTTAAATAAAAACCAAAACGAAGAAGTGAGATGTCAAACAATAAACATCTCTTTGATACATCGAGTTCTTTAAATGTACAAAAAAAAAAAGAGAATCATGAACTGTTCTATTTTATTCTTCTTCACTCTCACTATCGACTGTCTTGAGCCATTGGATAAACGGCTCCATCTGTTTCAAAAATACAGTCTTTCCCTGATGACTGGCGCCTTTTTCGGACCAGTACAAAATGGCACTCTCCGAGACGACATCCTCATCATATAAAATTTGAACTATTTGACGAAAGTGTTTCATCAATTTCGTATCATCATAACAATAGACTTGAACTTTTTGTAAAAGGGCAAGCTCTGTCTTGGGACTGGTCGCGAATACCGTGAGGATGTCGGAACATTGCTACAAATTGAACTAGTGTGGGATATATGTTTATATGTTGATTGCGTGAATGCGTCACCAATGCCTACCTTAACTTGACGAAGAACTTGGGTTTCAATTTGTTCCGCCCGAGAACCCCAATCAACGGCTTGCATCACGGAATCCCAGACAATTTGGACGAAATCAGATTCTTGCCAGCCACCTTCCTTCATCTGATGTTTGAGATAAACAATCACCTGAAGATTTCACGTTTAGACAGCATGAACAAAGATTTATTAAAGAAAATAAAAACCCCCAAGAAATGCCAACGATTAATGACGAATTACCTCGGCAGATGTATTATCGGCCTGCAGCATCTTTTTGGCGCGATCAATAGTTTGCTCTTTCATCGAATTCCTTTGCTTTTGGTTATGATATTCCACGAGCTGCTTCATATCCTCGGCTTCGAAATAACGAGCAAAGTATTCTTCGTCGCGTTTATTCGGAGGAAAGAATTCCATAAGTTTATTGTCCATCCCTGCTTTTTTAAGGGAGTTGCCTAGGTGGTCAATACTCTGTTCGCTCAGGTAAGCTTTAAAAACAGCAGTCACAAACTGGAGAGAGAGGCCTTTCGTTGATAATAGGACGGTAAGTTTCAACATAAAAAGGCTGCAAAAATGAAGATGAATTTCACTTCTTGTATACCTTCTTTGACAAGATGCTCCTTGAACAAAACAGTCAAGACGTTAATATTGGTCATCTGACCGGATGCAAACAGGCCAATAGCCATGGCTAGCTTGTTGTTTTCCTCGGAACTCCATTTGTTAATGTATTGTATTAAATTTTTGATGGTTTCTTCAAAGCTACGTTGCAAATATTTGTAACGCCGGATCAGCTTATTGAAAACCTCAACATGCTTTTTGATGACTTCGCTATTATCTTCCGCCGTGAAAATGGAAAATGGACTACGTTGCGTTCCATCTTTAAGGATTGTGCCTCCGGGTGCTGAAAGGAGAAAATTTTTCACCGGTGTTAATAGAAATTCAATGCGATCTGGCGGTTTTTCTTTTTCTTTTTTTTTTGCAACCGTTTACAAACCTAATACGCCACCAGTAAGAAGAATTTCAAATAAAGTTTCTCCGTATTTTCTATATTCAAGCGTATTGCCTGAGATGTCCAATTGCTGTGAGATCTCCTCAAGGTCGCCAGGTTGAGCGTTTGAAAGTGCTTTTAAGATACTGTCCCTAAAGACTGTTTAGAGGGTTACTAAACCTGATCGCATTTGTACCGACCTCAAGGGGAATTATTACTTACTGGTTGGTTCGTATTTTGCTTGAGCTTTTTGTTGGCCCTTGGGGAGTGAGTGAGAAAAAGTAAAGATTAACAACACAATCGACTATAACAATTCGAGATGAGCGGCAACACACAAATCGCTCACCTTTCTAGCTTTGATCTTAACACCATGCAAAGCTGGTAATGAACTCTTTGAGCTGCCGCTGTTTTGTGATGCACTCATTAAAAAGTCGACAAGTTTTTACAAAGCTAGCGTGTGGTCGAGGTAGAGAGAAGAAAAAAAGAAGAAGAAAAATCTGCTCCTGAAATAAAAAAAGATACGTGTATAAATAGCCGCTTTTTGTGTGGTTATTAAAATCTATGCATAACGTAACACTATTCTTGTAATGATTTAGCAAATTGTTCCAAATTTGGTGCCAAGAAGTGAGAAATTTATAATGCGAACCTTCTTCATTCTTTCATATCCACAAGGAAAAAAATGCTTCTCTTCAAGTGCGTAACCGTGGTGATAACGATTCTTTCCATTAGTATGCTACAAGGATGCAGTTCTCACGGCGGGCACGACACACCGAATCTCCTTGCCAACACACTTGAGAATAGTAAGGAAGAGTTTTGAGTTTCTTTTCAACCAGTGTAACCTGATATTCATTCTTATTCTTTGTAGAGTATCATTGGAAATGCCTGGATGCATCCACCAATCCCCTACACCTGAAAGAATGTGATCGCAAACTTTCCCAGATTAGTTTTTCACTGGGGTTTCTGCAGCAAAATTTTGAAGGGTGTAATAGACCATTGAAAATATTCGGTCCCGGAAACACCGTGTACGTCTAGTCTAATAATCCCGCATTTTTTTTTTTTCTTTTTTTTTTTTTTTTCCCTTCGATCGTTGGCGTTTGACTTGCTCAACATATTCACGGTGTTTTAAAAGTCTAGCATGGAATGAGAGAGACAATACGCTGATGATGAATTCGACAAATCATGCTCAAAATGCTGAATGGTGTTATGGGGAATCGAATTATGAGGTAAGATCTCTTAGTTTCCTAAGCGTGGAGGTGGTACCGTCTGACATTCTCATGTGAAATATTCATTAGGGCTCGTATCTCATACAACCATACGGTCGAAAGG